CAGGCCCAGTGGCCTGCTGGGTAATTTCAGGGGGTGACATCAGATTCACCTGCCTTCCCGTGAGGGAGGCGGAATCTTACGCAATGGAGTGAAATGGGACCTGCTGGGTCTTGGGGGGGGGGGGGGGCGCCCGGTGCCCCCCCCCCCCCCCCCCCACCCCCCCCTCCCCCGCCCCTCCCCCCCCCCGCTCTGCCAGTGCCCCTCACTCCCGACCCGCAGCCCGACCCCACCCCCTTTGCTAGGAAACATCTGGTAATTTCTGTGTAACCCTGGGCTTTCCGGAAGGGGGTGACGTCAGCGGGTGAGTCATTGGCTGCCTTTCCTCCTCCTCCCCCCACAGAGACAGGCTGGCCCAGACCAGCTGCTTCTAGAGAGCAAAAAGTTTGGTGCAGAAGGGAGCGGAGTGGGGTCTAGTGGTTAGAGCAGGGGGGGCTGGGAGCCAGGACTCCTGGGTTCTCTCCCTGGCTCTGGGAGGGGGGTCTAGTGGCTATGGGTCTCTCCCCCATGTCCTTAGTGTCTGGGTTCTCCTCTCACCCTCTTTCTTCCCCCCACATCCAGGTTCGATTCTCCCCCGTCGTCACCGTGCACCCCCTGCTGGTCTGGCCCTTTGCCAGCTGGGCTGCCCGCCGGGGGCCCTGGGAGGAGCTGGCCCGGGACCGGAGCCGCTTTCGCCGGCGCATCGAGCAGCTGGGGGCCATCCTGGGGCCCTGCCTGGAGCCGGGACATCGGGCCCGAGCCTGGAGGAAGATCCATGGGGCAGCCCCAGAGCTGGCAGGACAGGAGACGCCCTTCCCCCTCCACGAGGGAAAGGAGAACCCAGGACAGGGGCAGGGGATGCGGGACATGTCTCTCCAGCTCTGCTGTGAAAGGATGGAGGACCCAGGTGTCCGGGAGGGTCAGGCTGGGAAGCACACGCCCCTCCCCTCCGCTTATAGGGGAGTGGAGGACCCAGGCATCCGGGATGGAAGACTGGGCTAGGTCACAGACTCTGGTCCCCTGGCACCCCCCCAGTGGTGACTGCATTAACCCTTCTGGCTCTGGAGCCAGAACTCCTGAGTTCTCTCCCTGGCTCTGGGAGGGGAGTGGGGTCTAGTGGGTAGAGCAGGGGGGCTGGGAGCCAGGACTCCTGGGTTTCTTTGGGGATGACACCCCTTTACCTACCTCAATCTCTAACCTGCGCGTGCTCCGATCTGTTGCGTTTATTTATTACTGTTAAATTATTTTCCGGCTGGTCCATCCGGCCTCGGAGGGGACTAAATATTTAAATTTTTTATACCTGGATGACCGGGGGAGGGAGAGCCGATTTCTCAAGAGGCCATGGCCTCTTCCTTGCGTTTCTGAATCGCCTTGGTATTTTATTCCCCTGCCACCCTGACTCTGGGCTGCTTTTTAACTGCTCCAAGTCTGTTAATAAAGGTTTAATACACGGCCGCTTGTTCTGCGTGGTGGTGTTCAAACCAACCCCGCGGCGTCCAAACGGCGGGAATTTCCTGGACATCTCCGCCCAGGCTGAGCCATTGGATGTAGGCTGGTCTCTGTAACGCAGCCTCGGGGGGGTGCAGATAAAGATTGGTATGAGCACAAAGGGTTAATAAAACCTCCCAACTCCCCCCTTCAGGGTGTGGGGGGGTATTTTATAATTGGCCCAAGGCCTCGTTACATCAGCCTCTTAAACTTAAAGTAGGTGCTAGGGACCAGGACTCCTTGATCCCCTCTCTTGTGAGGGGAGGTCAGAGTTGGGGCAAGGGCGCTGGGACTCCTGGGTTCTCTCCCCAGCTGGGGGGAGGGGTGAGGTGGGTCTATGCCCTAGAGCAGGGAGGTGCCAGGACTCCAGGGTTCTATCCCTGGCATTCTCCCTCAGAGGGGGCCTGGACCCTGCCTCAGTTTCCCCCTCTGTACAAGGAGAGAAGGCTCCTTCCTGCTGTGAAGACTGGACTCTTTAGGGAGCAGCGGCTGGCCCTTGCTCTCAGCTGTATTACTGGCACGGGGGGACCTGTCCTGGATTTCTTTGACCTGAGCCGGGTGCAAGCCAGGGGGAGGATCTGGCTTGGCCGGAGGGGGAGCTCACCACCCAGTTGTTGAGTGGAAGACTCCCAAGATGCACAGAGACCAGGCGCCATGGCAGGTGACTCATGGGCACGGGGTAGGTGTTTAAAGCTCTTCCCAAGGCTGGCCTGAGTCACTGATTACACATGCCTGACACAGTGGCTCCCTGCCCACCAAAGACACGTGGATCAGCTGGGCTGACCTCTGTCACCTAGAACGGAACTGAGCGAGCCTAGACTCGCCCAGCCTGCTGTTTGTCCAACCAAGCCTTAAACCTCCCCACCTGCCCAGGAAGTCAGGGCCCCTACTGACCTCTCCTTAGAGCCCGAAACTTTTCCCTAAGCTCCAACCAAAATCTGCCTTGTGCTGATTAAGCCCCCACCTCCCCTGGTAACTGCAGGCCCTAGAACTGGGCGTATGATTCCCCCAGTGTTGCCCCCAGGGCCTGATCCAGAGGCCAAACCACCTCGCTGCTCCCACATGGGGTTCCCTGGTTGATGCATCCTGGGGTCCTGGTAGCCCTTTGATCCCAGCGCTGCTCAGGTGCGGCTGGTTCCCCACCACAGCCCCCCCCAAATCTTTCCTGCAGTCCCAGCTGCCCAGGAAGGTGACACCCCCACCACCATCTGCCAGGGCCCGGTTCAGGGTCTCTCTCCTGCTCTATACAAGAATCCTGTTAGCAATAGGAAGTCTCTCCCCACTCCACGGTCATGAACCCCCCTCCCAGAGCACTGGAGCTGGACTGGGATTCAGGGGGTGGGGGGATGTCCCACTGCCATACCAGCAGGAATGGGGGTAAAATATACTTTGGGGCCTCACAGGGTGGGGGCAAAAAACTCCAGCCCCATTAAGCTTTTTAATACTTAAATGTAAGCAAAGGTGATTGGAGGGGTCTGATCACAGGGAGGGAAAGTATTTTCTGAGCTGCTTTAAGCAAGATTGGTTTTATTTCTAGTGGTAAAAATTGCATCTCAATTCCATTGATAAACATAATATATTCACGGATAAGAACAGCCAGACTGGGTCAGACCAAAGGTCCATCCAGCCCAGTGTCCTGTCCTCTGACAGCGACCAATGCTGGGTGCCCCAGAGGGAGTGAACAGAACAGGTAACGATCAAGTGATCTGTCCCCTGTGGCCCATTCCCAGCCTCTGGCAAACAGAGGCCAGGGCCACCATCCCTGTTCCTCCTGGTTAATGGCTATTGATGGGCCTGTCCTCCATGAATTTATCTGGTTCTTTTTTGAACACTGCTATAGTCTTGGCCTTCACAACATCCTGTGGCAAGGAGTTCCGCAGGTTGACTGTGCATTGTGTGAAAAAAAATTTTTTTTCATAGCATGGGAGAATCTCTCATGGGATTTGCAGTGGGATATAAATGCAAGAAACAAGGTGGGAATTGTAGGGCAGGATTTAGAAAATAGTCCCACACAGGCTCCAACCCCTCCCTTCGATCAGCAAACCGATTAAAAAACTGCACCTGGGGACCAGCCTTTCCCCAACCCCCATCACTTTCTCAGCTTCTTTGACATTCTTTGGAGCCCAGGACAAAGGATCCCAGTCTCAGTCGGACCCGGTGCCGGCTAAAAGCAGCCCCCCACGCCAGCCCAAAAATGAGACCAGTTTGTGTCTTAAATTATCCCTTTATGTGGGGAAAACAGTGAGGCAGAAAGACACACACAACTGCTCCCCGTGCTGTGGGGCAGAGACTGCGGAATTGGGGGGAGAGCAGAGCACCCCCTAAAGCTGGTATGAGTTGGAGGGGAGAGTTGGGGAGACACCAGGGGCCTGGTCAGTTTCGTTCCACAGCAGCTGGGAAGCGCTGCTAAGGGTGCCATGGGGTCTATTCCCCCCACCATCACTCCCAAACTCCTGCCAGGTCTAGGTCCCATCCGATCTCCCACAAAATGCCCATGATTCGAACAGTCTGGTGCCACGTCCCATAATTTCTAACATGGGTCTGCTCACACCCTGCCCCTGGTCTAGTTGGGTCCGCCCAGCTCCGGGGAAGCTCTGCCCCCTGCGAAGCTCCACCCCCCCCACATTTAATGAACCTGTTTCTATTGGTGTTAAGACTGCAGCTAGAATTTGGGGGGGGGGGGGAGTCGTCAAGTGAACCCCACTCACAGCTTGGGAAGGTGGCCAGGGGATGAAGGATTTTAAGGGGGGGGTCTGTCCCCCTGTGCTATAAACCCAGGGGCTCAGGATGATGGGCGGGGGGGTGGTTCATCTATTTCATCGCCTCGACCAGCACAGGGTGGGGAGATGGAGCAGAGATGGGGGTGGAGGGGGCAGTGGGGCCCACGAGCAATATGGAAAGATGTGGGAGCTGAGAGAATTCTTGGGGGGGGGGCTCCCTGCCACCCCAAATCAAGACACACACACACACCCCTTCGCCAAACCTCAAGTGCTTCCCCATTCGAACTCCCCATCCAGGAACACGGGGAGATGGGTTCTGGGGGGGAGTACCCAGGACCCACCCCCTAAAAGCAGGAGGCTTTTTGGCGTGTGTGTGTGTGTGGTGGGGTGGGGCAGGGGGGGACACAGCGCTAATAGCACAATCTATTTCCATGATGGGGGGCTGGGTTACCCATAATGCACCACCCAATGGCAAGGCAGCTTTCTATGACAGGGATTCGGGGGGCGGGGGGTTACCCATCCTGCACTGCAACTCCACCTCCAGAATACCTGCTAGTGTGTGGGATGGGGAAGGGAAAAGACTGAGCTGGGCCTACCCAGCATGCACTGCAGCAGCCCCCCACGGGCAAGTGGGGGAAGCTGGGAAACACAATGCAGCACTAGGGGGCAGGAAGCCCCCAGCTCCAACCAATGCCCCTGCTCCGAAAACAGACAAGACTCAATGTCACCCCCCCAGTGGCCAAAAAAGGGACTGCAGACAGCCCAGTCCCCGGCCTGGATGCTATACTAGGACCCCAGCCCTGCGCGGGGGGGGGGGGGGGGGGGGGGGGGAAGGAAAAGGGGCAGGGCCCAGGAGGGAGAGGGGTGGGGCCAATACGAGGCCCCGCCCATGTCCAGCTCACACAGGGTTTCACTGGATCTGGACTTCGGGCTGTGGCGGCGTCTGCTGCTGGTTCTGGAGAGGTTCCACGTGGTTCTGTTCAGGGGCGTGGGCTGGGGCTGCCGGCGCGGCCGGATCTGGAACGGAGACAGGAGAAGGGGGGTCGGCACAAAGCAACTAGACCCTCACTCTCCTCCTAGAATGGAGAACCCAGGAGTTCTGGCTCCCAGTTCCCCCGCCCCCGGCTCTAACCCCAAATCCACCACCCCTCCCAGAGCTGGGGAGAGAACCCAGGAGTCCTGGCTCCCAGCATCCTCCGGCTCTAACCACTAGACCCCAATCCCCTCCCAGAGCGGAGAACCCAGGAATCCTGGCTCCCAGCCCCCCCTGCTCTAACCACTAGACCCCACTCCCCTCCCCAGAGCCTAGGAGAGAACCCAGGAGTCCTGAACCGCCATCTTACCCGCCGGGGCGGCGTGCGGGGCCTGGGCCTGGAATTTCAGCTCCTCCGCCGGTGCCTCCCCCTGCTGGGTTTTCCTCTGTTCCATGTGCAGCACGGCCTTGGGGGGGGGGAGGGGGGAGGAAAGGGTTAATCCTGGGCCTGCTCCCACATTGGCCCCTGCTGATGGGGGAGGCGGGGCAGCCTTTACCCCTCCCCCACTAGGATGGGAATTGCTGGTGTCTGCCCCCCTCCTGCCCCAAATCCCCCCCACCGGAGACAGATACATGGGGGGCAGGGAAAGACACAACTCCGCTACTGCAACTAGATTTCCCCCCCATGTGCCGATCCCCACCCCCCCGGTGACAGCAGTGGGGGGCGGGGGAGAGGGGGGCAGCTGATCCCCCACCCCAAAATCCCCGACTCCCCGGGGGGGCCAGACCCATGGAAGGGGGGCGGCCCCCATCCCCCAACTTCAAGGGGCACAGGCCTGCCCCCTGCAGTGTCACTTCCCGGGGGGGGGGGATCCCCACCTTAGGCAGGAGAGGGGCAGACACCCACGGGAGGAGGGGCGGGGGGCTCTCCCTCCCCAACCCCTGGGTGGATGGAGCAAGGCAGGGGGTGGGGAAAGGGGGGGGCTCTTTCGGGGGGGATGGGGGGGGGACCCCGCAGCGGCCCCACCTGCTGATACTCCTTCTTCTGGGCGTCCAGCCGGACCTGCTGCTCCTGCAGATCCTGATGCTGGCGCTTCAGCTGCTCCGCCCGCCGGCCAAGCTCCGCCTCCTGGGCCGCTAGCTCCGCCTCGAACCGCTGCAGCTCCGCCTCCGAGTACACCTGGGTCTCGTCCACCGTCTGCAGGGGGAGGGAGGTGAGAGCCGGGAACGACCCCTCACCTCCCCTCCACCACCACCCCCGTTAGGCAATACAGACTCCCCAACCCAGTCTCCCCCTGCCCCCCCAAGAGACACAGCCCCCCAAATCCCAACCTCCCAGCCGCCCCCCGACACCCACCTCCCAGCCTCCGGCCTCATTAAACTCCTTCTTCTCGGTGGACTTCAGGAATTCCTCCAGCGTCACCAGCCGGTCCTGGTTCAAGTCCACCTTGGGGGATGGAGATAAAGGAGTGAGATGGGGTCTGGGCCCCCCAGCACTCGCTACCCCTCCCTCTGGCCCCCCAGCTACCCCCCTTCTTATCCCCCATCCTAGGCCCCAACATGGGAATTTTCTGTCTAACTCTGTGCCCATCTCCCTGGCCCTGTGGGGTGTGTGTTGGGGGGGAGGGGGGGTTGATTTTTCTCCCTGCCCCATGGGAGACCAGAGCAGGTACTGGAGCCGCAGGCTGGAACGGGGACCCCCCCCAAAACAGGAACCCCCTGGGACACAGTGCAGCCGACCACGGACGAAAGCGTTCCGGGAACTACGGACAACGCGGATCGCTCGCTGGAAAACGAGCCGCGCTGAACCGACAGCTTGATTGAGAAACATCCCAGAGACGGGTAACGTGCCGGGTACCCGGAGACGGCTCTTTCTGGATTTCCAGGGACCGTTTTCCCAGGCTGCCGAGCTGCACCAAAAATGGACACATAGGACCCAACACTACTGAAGATGCCGCGACCCACCGATCTGCCGGTGCCAGGAATCCAGGACCCCCTAGAATAGACTGAGGGCCAGGACCCCCCCTCTCCCCCCCGCCAGGAGTGTGTGTCACTCACGTTCTTCATGACGTGCTCCCGCATACGCAGCCGTTCCTCCTCCATCTCCAGCATGTCGTCCTCCTCGTTCCGGGGGTCGTAGACCTTCTCCAGCTGGGGGGAGACACCTGATCAACGCCTCCCTAGCTGCTTAGCCCCGCCCCTGCCCACCCACACGGCTCAGCCCCGCCCACCCACCGCTGCCCAAAAGGGCCCCACCCATTCCATCCTCCTCACCGCTCAGCCCCGCCGGTCGCATCCCACCGCTGCCTCCAATACTCTGTCTCACCCAGCCTGCCCCCATAGGTCAGCCCCACCCCATTCCTCAACCCCATCCCACTGCTATCCCCACAGCTTAGCTCCCCTCCCTCGCAAATATACAGACCCACAGCAGATCTGCCCTTCAGCACCTCCTTGTCCTCTGCCGCCAGCCCCCGCATCTTCGCCCCCCCATCCCAGCTCCCTTCCGGACTCTTCCCCGACACACACACACTCCCCCTCTGTTTGCCACCCCCTGCTGTCCAACTACCCCTCCTGCCCACCCCCAGCACAGCCATGGGGCGGCTTCCCCCACTCCCTTGGGGTTCAGGAGGAAGGATAATGGGAGCCCTGGAGTCCAGGACCCTCCTGCACAGACCTTCACCCCCCGCCTGGCCCCCCCACACACCCAGGGGAGCTCACCTCCTTGGTGAAAAGCGCTTCCAACTCTTGTTCGTCGAGAACCCCGTCGCTGTTCGTGTCTGCAACAGACAGTGGGTGAGCGCAGCCGGGGCAGGGGAATCTCCCCGCTAGGGGGCGCCGGCTCCCATCCGGCCCCAGGGCGGGGACTGGCTGGCTCAGGGGGTGGGGAAATGGGGCTCGGGGCCTGTCCCCTCTAGGGGGCGCCGGCTCCTTCCTGGCCCCAGGGCAGGGACTGGCTGGCTCAGGGGCAGGGAATGGGACACGGGGCCTGTCTCCTCCAAGGGGCGCCGGCTCCCACCTGGCCCCAGGGTGGGGACTGGCTGGCTCAGGGGGGGCAGGGAATGGGGCCTTTCCCCTCTAGGGGGCACCAGTCCCACCTCGCTCTCCCCCAGTGGCCCCCGACGGGTGATAAGTTTCCTAGTTCCCAGGAGCCAGACGTCCCCGTGTCAAACCCCGCCCGCCCCGCAGGGGGGCCAAGGGCTGCAGGTGGGTGGGGGGGTTGGGTGTGTTTGTCAATTTCTCTCCACCCACTATGGGGTGGGATGGTCGGGTCTGTGTGAAAATGCTGGGGGGGAGGTGGCTTGGGGGGGGCTCCCTCCTACAGCCCCCCCATCCCACCCCAAGGGGTCTAGTGTGTTACCAAGCCTGCCCCCCTCCCCCAGCCCCTAAATCCCCTGAACAGAGGAAGGGATGTGCCTGACTCCCCTGGGGTGACCTCAGCAGGGGGCACTGGCCCTGTATGGAGGGGGGAGCTGGGCAGAGGACTCTGGACTGTCTAGGGCAAGGGTGGGGAGTGTCACGGGGCGGGGGGAGCGGGAGATAGGCCCCTCACCGTGCAGTTTGAAGAAGGTTTTGGGATTGAACTCGCTGGGGTCCAGCCCATCTGTCTCCTCCCAGACTTCCTTGAGCTGATCTCGGCTGCCCTGTAGGGGGCAGAGTCAAGGGGAGGAGGAGATAAAACCCAGGTCTCCTGGCTCCAAGCCCCCCGCCTGCCAATCATCATTCAGGTTCTGCCCCACTTGACTTCCCCCTGCAATTACGCCACATTTTCCCAGAGCGGGGGGCTGTGTGTGCGCTAATCCCCTCCCCTTGCCCGAGCCCACAACCGGAGACCACCTCCGCCCCCTGCAGCATGGAGTTCCGCAGATGAATTCAGCGCAAGCCTGGCCGTTGGCTCCGTGGCACCCTCTAGTGGCTCGTAGCTGGACAGAGGCAGGCAACCCCCCCAAACCTCCCATCCTGCACAGCGGTGGGCTCTCTGGGGTAACCCCCCACCCCCCAAGCAGGGAGTTCTACAGATTAACACTGACCTGTTACCCCTGCAGAAACAGGTTCTGCAGGCAAATGCATCCCGTCCCCCCACACACACACACCCTGTAGCAAGGAGTTCCCCAGGTAACTCCCATGTCCTGCTCTGCCCCCTCCCCCTGCCCAGCTGGGGGTGAGCCCAGCCCCCCACGGGGGGGGAGGAGGGGTCATTACCGGGACGTTGATTTTGGGGTGTTCCTTGTGCTTCTGGCGCAGCTCCTGGAACCGGGCCTCCTCCTCCCGCCGCTTCTCCTCGTCCAGGGACTTGAGGTATTCGCGCCGTTCGTGCTCCTTCAGCATCTCGTATCGTTTGAACTCCTCGTGATGAGCCGCGTCGTAGTTCTCCAGGTCCTTGGTGGCCTGCAGGAGGGGCGGCCGTCAGCACGGAACCCAGGAGTCCTGGCTCCCAGCTCCCCCACCCCCCTGCTCTAACCACTAGACCCCACTCCCCTCCCAGAGCCAGGGAGAGAACTCAGGAGTCCTGACTCCCAGCCCCCCCACCCCCCTGCTCTAACCACTAGACCCCACTCCCCTCCCAGAGCCAGGGAGAGAACCCAGGAGTCCTGGCTCCCAGCCCCGCCCCTGCTCTGACCCAACCACATGCAGACTCACCAGCCCCCACCCTCTACCCTCCACCCCATGCTGGGCGAGTCCAATGGACCCACGGGAACCCCCACGAGGGGGTGAAAGGGTTAACAGGAGGGGGTTTCCCCGCACAAGGGGGGGGGTTCCCATCGCTGTATCCGGGACGAGGATGGGATGAACCCCCCCCCACGAACCCCCTTGCTGCCCCCTCCCTGTCTGCCCCATTCCCGCCCCAAAGAATTGGTTCCTTCCGAACCTCTCCTCCCCCCCGCACTCACCGCCTGGATGAGCAGCTCCAGGTCGCGGGCCTCAAAGGTATGCTGGTTCTGGGGGTCCAGGTGCTCGAATTGCTTCAGCAGCCCCAGGTGATCGATCTGCACGTCTGGGGGAGACACAGGGCAGGGACTGACTGGCTCAGGGGGTGGGGAATGGGGCGCGGGGCCTGTCCCCTCTAGGGGGCGCCGGCTCCCACCCGGCCCCAGGGCAGGGACTGGCTGGCTCGGGGGGGGGCAGGGAATGGGGCCGTTCCCCTCTGGGGGGTTCCAGCCCCCCATCCTCCCTTGCTTAGGTGGGGAAACTGAGGCAGAGAGGGAAAGGTGAAAGTTCACCAGGTACCACTAACACAGCTGGGAAAAGTACCCGAGTTCTCCCAGCCCCCCCCCCCCCACACACACACTTGACCCCCATCCCCTCCCAGCGCTGGGGAAGGACCCCAGGCGTCCGGGCTCCCCACTCACTCTGCTCCATGGTGGCGTCCATCTTGGCCTTGAGCAGCATGCGGAGCCGGGAGACCTCCTGGCGCTTCAGCTCGTCCAGCTTGGTGCGGACGTGATGGCTCACGAAGTCCAGCTCCTTGCTCAACTTCCCGCTCTGCCACGGACAGGGGGGAGGAGCTGCTGTAAAGACACGCCCCCTTCCCCATGCCCCGCCCCCCCCCCCGCCCACCCCGGGGCCAGATAGGGCGCCCCCCAGAGGGGAAAGCCCCCACGTCCCGTCTCTCTCACCTTGATGTCTTCGGCATTGGCCGCCTGCAGCTTCTCGCGGAAGTGACTGTCCGTCTCCAACACGTTGATCACCTCCTGCAGGTAGCGATGGTAATACAGCCCCGTGTCCTGCCGAGGGACAGTGAGAGGTCAGGCCATGGGCCCCTCCCGGATCCACCCCCCGCCCCCCCATCTCCTCCAGGACACACAGAATCTGCCGGGGACGTACAGCGACCACACAGAACACCGTCGTCCATCCTGCTTCAGGTGATGCACCACGAGGGGCTCGTAGTTGGGAGCCAGGACTCCTGGGTTCTATCCCCGGCTCTGGAAGGGAAGTGGGGTCTAGTGGTTAGAGCAGGGGCGGCTGGGAGCCAGGACTCCTGGGTTCTCTCCTCGGCTCTGGGAGGGGAGTGGGGTCTAGTGGTTAGAGCGGGGAGGGGAGCTAGGCCTCAGTTTCCCCATCTGTATATGATCCTCCCTTTGCCTAGTTGAGCTGTGGGGGGCACTCGGCGTTACCGTAATCCTCCCAAGAGGAGAGTCTTCAAGATCCGCCTTCCCAGAACCCACCAGCCAAAACGTGACCGCGCCCACGGGGCCCGATCCGGGGGGTGCCGCCTGCGTGAGCCAGCGGGGAATTTTCCGCTATCTTTTTCAGCAGGCCGCAGCCTGCCTCAGTTTCCCTCGTACGCTGCAGTGCTCGCCAGCAGATGCGAAAGGGTTAATGCTGGTCCTGGAATCCCGCAGGGGGGCCGGGGAGTCTTTGGTCTCATCTCAGGCCCCCTGAACTGTGTGGGAGCCGCCATCAAATTTTAACCGGACCGTAGCGTGTTATTCATGGATCGTGTGTCCTCTCCCTCTGGCCCCATTGATTTAGCCCAGAGAGAGGCGACTTCTCATGGCTGAGAGGCAGGTGTTGTCTGTAATTAATAAACTAACGAGAGACGCTTCCAACTTATCAGGAATTCCTCTAACTGCTGACCAAGCCTTTAAGGCAGAAGACATAGATCTTGTCTGTAACTGATGGAATTGATGAAACAAGGAATTAATCATAAGAACGGCCCTACTAGATCAGGCCAAAGGTCCTGTGACGAAGTGGGGGACTGTCTTGTTTTCCAATGGTTTGCATGCCAACGGGGTGGGACTCAGTTTCCCTGGGGGTTACTGGTTTAATGAGGGGAGGGGAGAGGGAGTTTGTGGTTACAGCGGACCGGAGAGGGAACTTGGGACCCCAGCCGATGGCCTGGAGGATGGAGACCCCAGCGACTGGTGACCTGATGACCCAGTTCACGAATCGCAGCCGGTTCTGGCCAGTGGGAGGACAATGGGCTGCAAAGAGAGGATCCCGGTGACCTGACCAGCCGGTTCCAGCCAGAGGGACCAGAGCACAGAAGAGAGGAGAGGAGGCCCAGTGACCTGGTTTCCCTGGAGAGAAGACAATGGACAGAGGCGGGCCTGGGGGAGGTGATCTCAGATGCCCAGCTGGGAAGCAGGGGGGCTCGGGCCTAGTATCCAGTGACCCATCCTGTCCACTCCCAGCTGCTGGCAGTCAGATGTTTAGGGACTCTCAGAGCATGGGGTTGCCTCTCTGACCAGCTTGGCTAACAGGAACGGGTAGAGTTATCCTCTGTGAACGTCTCTCATTCTCGTTTGGACGGAGTTATACTATTGGCCTTCACAGCGTCCCCCGGCAACTAGCTCGACGGGTTGACTGTGGGCTGTGTGAAGAAATACTTCCCTTTGTGTGTGTCAAACCTGCTGCCTGTTCATTTCATTGGGTGACCCCTAGTTCTTGTGTTATGAGTAAATAACACTTCCTGATTTACTTTCTCCACACCAGGCATGATTTTATAGACCTCCATCATATCCCCCCTTAGGGGTCTCTTTTCCAAGCTGAAAAGTCCCATTCTTATTAATCTCTCCTATGGAAGCCGTTCCAGACCCCTAATCATTTTTGTTGCCCTTTTCTGAACCTTTTCCAATTCCAATAGATCTTTTTTGAGATGGGGCGACCACATCGGCACGCAGTATAGAATCATAGAATATCAGGGTTGGAAGGGACCTCAGGAGGTCATCTAGTCCAACCCCCTGCTCAAAGCAGGACCAATTCCCAACTAAATCATCCCAGTCAGGGCTTTGTCAAGCCGGGCCTTAAAAACCTCGAGGTGTGGGCGTCCCATGGGTTTATATAGAGGCAATATGATATTTTAAAATACCTATCTCATCGAACTGGAAGGGACCTCAAAAGGTCATCGAGTCCAGCCCCCTGCCTTCACTAGGAGGACCAAGTACTGATTTTTGCCCCAGATTCCTAAGTGGCCCCCTCAAGGATTGAACTCACAACCCTGGGTTTAGCAGGCCAATGCTCAAACCACTGAGCTATCCCTCCCCCACTTTTCTGTCTTGTTATCTCTCTCTTTCTTAATGATTCCCTTAATGATCAGATCGATAATTGACAAGACAAGCAGGTGTGTTCGGTAAGGAGGCGCGGTGACAGGAGCCGATTTTGGATCGTAAGCCTCGATTTCCCCGGACACACGGAAAAAACCAGCGCCGCGGAGGCAAATCGAACCTCCCAGGGAGGCAAAGAGGGAGAAAACGCTGCTGGGAAGCCTATTACGGTTTGATTGAAGGCTATTTCCGTGGGCTCGTTCGCCACACGATGTTGACCACGCGCG